ATTGTAAAGTTTGACATAACTATGCCTTCGCAATTTTCACCGCCCAAATTCCCACCTTCTTATTCATTGAATGAGTATATGAGCTGGCAAAATGTCTTTATCTTTTGGTTGATTTTTTTTGCACTCTTTCTGTTCAAAAATGCATTATGCTCTTCAGTATTCCATCTTATCTTACGTTCTTGTGTTGAATCAGCAATTTAATTTAAAACAAGTATTTTTAAACGATCGTTAACATTTCCGTTAATGAGCACGACAACAGTCCAATTTGTGGTAAAGCTAAAATTAGAGAAATCGCAGATCACAAAAATATCATGGCTGAAATGGAAAACACGAATCCCTAAAACAAAATATAAAAATCAATTCAATTAGCATCTGACTTATATAGCCTCAATTTTTGCCACACTTAGGTTCGATTAACTTTGATCCAGAAGTTGCCTCTGGATTTTCTGGTTTTAGTGTCGGGAAGCTGCTCTATCTCCACTTTTAAAAACGACCAAATTACGATTTTGCGTATGTTAACACGAATGGAACCCAGTGCTCGGGAACTGGTTGGGGTTTAATAAGCAACTTTGCCGATTGGTCTCTAAAGCGTTTATTTGCATCAATGACTTCAGTGTGAAAGTTAGTGTCATTTACCAAAAATGTTCTCTGAAGACGATGAAATGAAACCAATGAAAGATGAATAGACCATGAAGGCATTGCAGAACACTTATATGAATTTAGTAAATAGACTGTACGAGCTTCCGTTAACGGTTAGAGTTCATTAATGTGGCAGTTTTGAAGGTTATTTTATATTTTACGGCTTTATTTAGACGTCTGTTAAGTGTTACTAATTAATAAGTACTTAAAATTATGAGGTGATCAACAAGAATCTGTTATTTACATGATTGGAAGTTTATATCCCAAATACAAATTTTGAATGTTATGAAGATATTGGAGAAATATTGAATTCCTGTAGTAGCTATGCTAAACCGGAACTATCAATGACTGCTGATTACTCGCTAAATTTATGTTCTTTTCTAAGCATATTGCCTTCCCGTTCTGGGGTGAGCGATGGACTTACCTCAACGTGGTGCACCCTGGTCAATGTATACCCATATGGCAAAAAAAGTCCATAAATCGGCAGTTGGCAACAAATTACCATGACCCCACTGTATGTCATAGTTGACCACTCCCACAGTACTTACCTCACCTTACCTTTTTTCCTCCACCTTTGTGCCTGCTACTTTTACATCTTTGAATCACTCTTCTATTCCCCCTCTCAACATTTTGTGACTTTGATGCTACTAATCTCTGTAAAACCAGAAGTCAACAAAAGAGCTAATGATAACTATCATTAAGGCCAAACATTTAATATAATTAAATAGTTAGCATTTTAATTTACGAACAATAAGGTGAGCCGAAGATTGTCATACTTTAGATTTATCCTAAGGCCCCAGGCTAGGGATATCCGAATATCCTGAATGGATTAAGATCACGCACATTTGAGAGAACTATTTAGACGGTTACCACATGCTTTTGTGTACAATTGTACGAATGTAACAAACTTCACTTACTAAAGTTAGTAAATCGGCCTAATCTTCAATTAAGCCAATTATTAGCTTAAAATAGTGTATTATTATCAATTTGCTTTGTCATTAATAAAACCCTGGGATTCGGGATGTAGGCCATGCTTTGAGGAGGGGAATACAGTTTGTGGAGTCCAGGTATTGAATGATATTCTGCGCCTAATCACATACTAATTTTTATTTATTATCATCTATAAGGTAACTCTTCTTTAGGAGGAAAGTCTCCAATTGCATAGCTCTACAAATGTCAAGCTCGGGCAATATTTGGGGGTTGTTAATTAATGACCTTGAGATTGACAATTCATTGACTTCATTTTGTAGCACAATATTGCGTTATTGATACATGGATATTTGTAACTAAAACTCTCTAGTAAGTAAAAATTGTAATCACTCAGATAGAAGGATTTACGAAACCCGAAGGGTGATGATCAAGGCAAATTCTACGCTTTTATAAACCTTTATTCATCAAAATTTTTGATTGGTGGACATTAAGTCCCACTGAAGCATCTCTAAGGCATTGATTTTGTGAAATAGTTCAAACTGCAATCTCAACCGTGACTATAGGATACAGAATTCGTTCACATTCTAGTTCTATCTTTACAAAACCAATTGACTAAAGTGAAGAGAAGTTATTTTTATTTATTGCTTCTCTGAAATGTTTTCGTCCTCTAGCGAAGACTATCAAGACCCTAATACGATTAGGTCTTTCCAGTGAAATGCAATTTATTCACTACATGGAAAAATTGCACATAGATATGGTAAAAAATGGATGCAATATTAATTCCTGGTCATTCCATCAATCAAATCGCTTCATTTAGTGTTTCCTCTCAATTCTGGTCTTCAATTAAGCAAAGCAAACCTTTCTTAAAACATTCACAAGTTAACTAAGATACGATGGGGCAATTTTTAAGTTTATGCCATATATTTTACAAGATATGAGCTAAGTTGCTTGCATACAGCTAGGTAAAAAGTTAGAGATTTCAAACGAGACGAAGGAATCTTTATACTTTCACTCAATTTGTCAATTGTATATGCTTTTGAAGGGATCTGATGGGTAATTTTATTTCAGAGTTATCAAAATTACCATTTTTTCAAAAATGAATGGAATAAAACAATCGATTTTGTTACGGTTTTCGAAGAATAGAGATTCCTCATTTTCACTCTAAATTTATTGAACAATACAAATATGTGGAAAACTGGAATGCAAGGATTGTATTACTGGAATTGAACTAATTTCAGGTGCAAACTGCCTCAGTAGGCTCAAATCTATGACCTTACTTAGGCATTGATCTCTTTAAAGGCGCTATGGATACATAGTCATTCTCAGAAGCAGAAGTCCTGGGGATGTGATGGGACACGTGGATATTGGAAAAAAGCGAGGTGGAAAGAACACGGAAATAAAATTTGCAAAATTGGGGAATTGGGTTAAGTACTCAAGCATATGGCGTGAAGTTGGAATTATAAACCATACTGGTTCAATTTTAAATAACTTCAGAAGTAGGACAACTAGAGCACATACTTCATATTGGCCAGTTTGACCTGATTTAAGTATCTAAATGTGACAATAAGGTGAAGCAGCGCGCTCCACAGTGGCATTAGGGAAGTCCGCGCTGTACCTAGGCAACAAGAACGCACTGAAAGACAAAACGACTACTCTTTACATATGGCAAGGTTAAATTTCTCACATAATTTGAATTATTAAGAAATTCACTTTGCGAAATTATTTATTTCTCAGTCATCCTATGAATTTATTCACAATCAAATCTGTCTTTTCTTACTGAGTTAGCTTATGTTAAAGTTAGGACTTATGCTCCATAACTCGACTATACTCCGCACCCGTGCCGAAATTTGAAACGGCATCCAAGCGTGAGCACAGAATCAAGCTTTCGCTTGGTCTGCAAAGATCATCAAATTTCCAAACCAGTGGTCGTGCTTGAAAGTGCATGCCAAAATCCAGTGGACCACACCCCAACCAACTCGAAAGTAAAAAATCTGGACGCAAGTAAAATAACAAAGCGAGCTAATTACCAATCTTTAGAAAGCTTACTCTCTGATGACCCTACCTGCTATTTTTTATTTAATTTGAATTCACACGTTCACCCTGGTTCAATTTCCGTTTTGATCACCATAGATGGACTATCAATAAACGCTTACAAGCGATTCTCTTTCACTTGGTAGCGTTAACACACCCCATCATGATTGTAAATTGGTCCAATATGGTAATATCCATTTTGTTCTTGATGTATCAAATAGCACGATCCAAACTAATCTTACAATAGAACCTTGAGGCTCGTACCTCTGTATTGAGAACTTAACCAAAGAATGGCGCTTATAAACTCCCCCCTATAAGAGAGAAAGGATCTCATTGTGAATTGATCTAATGTATATGATCTACTAACATTTCTTGCAGTCAATAGAGTTTCAAATGTTCTGTCTGATTTTCTTAGTGGGACACAAGGCACCACGACCACTGGGAATCTATGGTGAAAATGGGCCTTTTTTCTCCATTTGCATACGAATAAACAGCATGCCTCCAAGTAACATAAACATTTTCCCCTTCAATTTCGGTATTTCCTCTATAAACTTTGCTCTGCACAATTCGACCATATTGTTGAATATTGGATAATGGGAAAAAATGAAAAGGCAGCTCGTCAGAACTTCACGAACCTCGTGATTAGATCCCTATCCAGGTTCTCTCACTCTCTGCAATGGTTTTAAATGCGCCAATCCATAAAATCGAAATAACAATCGTTTTCAGAGGTCAAAATTTCCGTAAGCTCCAACACTTAAGGTAACTTGCTGATCCTCCCTGCTCACTATGTTGTAATAAAGTAGAAGAATGAAAACTTATACTTAGTTTCGACAAATATTACATTTCATCTCAAGACTACCTCCTCTTCTTCTGAATATCCATTTAACTGCCCCAAATTCAAGATCATTGATAATTTCGAGCAAACTCCTGCACTTCTACAAAATTACGAGATCTTGCAGGCGATGCTCCATTGACAATAAGAAAAAGATATTTCGGGAAGGGGATACATTACTGATTCGTTAGGTAACTACAAACAAACGAATGAAACATGAGAGGGAAATCGTGTTGCCAAATGGGAAAAAAAGGGAGGATTCAGATAAATAAACTGCCAGAGATGATTGCCGAATCGCTAACTGCACAGAGTCACGCCATCTACAATCACGAAATTCACACACACAAAATGGTTGAATAAATATATTCGCACATATATTCAAAGGTCGATGTTTTTAATGCTGGTGATTTGACACAAAGAGGAGGAAAGAGGAAAACGCAAGATTAAACAAAAACAACTTTAGCATCGCTACACTACACTACACTACACTAGGGGTACACACGCAGTAGGAAAGAATTAAGAGGATAGATAAACAGTGGAGAAACCTTGATATGGTGATTCGCTCATTTTATGCTCGAATTTTCGTGTTCTCCGGCTGAATAACGCCACCTGGACCCGGAAGAATACTGTTTCCCATTAGGTCCATATCAACCTGTCGAGCAGCCTGACGACCTTCATTGATGGCGTGAACCACCAAAGACTGGCCTCGACGACAATCTATACAAGAGGTAAATGATACGATGAATACGAGTTTAGGAATCAAATTAATCAGGAATTATGCTTTATATTAATTTTTGGACAGCAGTCTTTCGCGAATCAGAGAATTTCCTAGCCGAGAAATTGCATTTAAACTTTCCATCCTGAGTGAGACAAGGATCCACCCTAGATTATTTTTTTTAAATGTAACATGACGTGATAAATTCGATTATATATTGACTTATTTCCCTTCAACGGACAGGATAAAACCGGAGAGATCTCAGATATCAATTTTACTAGCCTTTCTGACAATCCGTCAATCTTCATGCTGTTTATCTATTCCTTGTCAACTAAATAACCCAGTCACCGTCTTTATTTCCTAATGAAAATAATCTCCCAGCTTCTCACATTCCTTGGTTTTCCTTGAAAATGGATTTCTTAAAGCTAGGAATGACAAGAGATGGGCAGTTTATATACAACTTACGGTAATTACTTCTAAGCTAGAACTTCTCTTGCAATGAGGCCAATCACCCATATCATCGAGTAAGCAATGCGAACCCTGACTAGTGGTTGAAGAAAATTCTTCAAACATAGTTTTTTTGGATTTAGGGGTGAGTACCTCATTTAAAAGCATAAAGGTCAAAAGCATACCTCCAGCGGCATAAACCCGAGCCAACGACGACGCATACTTGCCAGGGTTTGTCTTGATATTTGAACGTGGATCAGCTTCCAGGTTAAGTTCCTCCAAGATTGTCTTCTCTGGACCCAAGAATCCCATTGCAAGCAGAACCATATCGCACTCCATTGTTTTCTCCGTTTCTGTAATAGATGTAAAGCAATAGTGATAGTAATATTCACATAGTGGACGAAGACGCCTTAGATTTGAGAATAATAAGGATATTTCCGTAAGGGTTTCAGTTATCTTTCAGAATCATAGAAGTGTGTTTTACCGACGACGTCCGCCAAGATAAAATTGATAGGTAAAACCATCTTCTATGAAGAATTCAGGTTGATGGAAAATACTTAGAAACAATTGTTTAGGGAATCTGTAAAATTCGAAACTGCCCTAATCTGATAATGACTCATCAAAGCTAGCAGACATAGCATGACAAACGCAAATAACACCCATTAGTCGAAATGAGAGCACTGGCAAGTTAATTCAAAAGCGTTCCGAAGTTCGTATTAAAATTCTTCCGTTTGGTAAGACCTATTTGTTCCAAGTGGTTGAAGCTAAAGAGAAGAATTACCGTCACTAGCAGTCGACCTAGTGTTGTCTTCGTTACCATAACATTAAATCTGGAGGTCTGAAAGACCTATTTTCACTAGGAATGGAGGAGATTATTGAAAACAGCCAATTCACCTTTCAGTGAGATCCGAAACAACTCTGGATTATTAATACGCCAACTAAAAATATTTATGAAAGAACTTACCAGGTAGCTCAACGAAAGTAGGCCTTCCGCCCTCTTCCTTAGGATCTTCCCATCGCACAGAGACAGTTCGCAGACCAGAAAGCTTCTTGGGGTCTTCGGGGGATGGGATGAAGTATTTAGTGAGAGTATTGTAGGCGCGAGGATCGTGACCATAGTGCAACTTCACTTCCTCTTGACCGTATTCAGTGCGCATGATAATTGGCCACTCTGGCCATGGATTCTTGCGATGCTCACGGCTTTCTGGTGGATTGGGTAATATTTCCAATGTCTCAACACTCTTGGCACCCTGTAGGTAAAGCGATTTAATGAATACATTAGACATCGATGAAAGGGAGGGTATTAATAGGCTTAATATAGTGAATCTGTGTCCTTCAGAACTTCCTGTGGTCTTACTATCCTTTATTAACTTTCTAAATGCATTTTTTACCAAGAGCTTGATCACTGCATGACAACAATTTCTCAATAAACCGTCTACATGGTACAACAATTGGAAATATGTTAGCTAAAATCAACTTGTCTGAGATTCGCTATAACAGATCGTTAAGATTGACTCACAAAGCAATAAAATCTGGACGACAATCTCGAAATTTAGAAACTAAGAGATCTAGCTCGAAGCGGAGGGCTACAATTGAACATTTACACTACTCGATAATAAGATATATGTACTCGAACGGTCACATAAAGGTAAGCATTCATTGTCAGTCATATTTACGAGTCCTTTAGCTTATTTACCGATAAAAACTAAACCATCTACTATCAATGACGCACTCTTACCCGTCTAGCTACATCGAATTTGATCCTCTCAAACAATACTCTTTAATATACCTCTCATTTAACCCTTTAAACCCCGTATTATTTATTGAAAAATGCACCCGACCGCACTCACGCGTGTTTCTCACAGCAGACTGATGCCGTCGACGTGGTGAGTTTGGGTGGTATCGGGCGAAGGCTATGGAGATATTTCGAACGGCAATAGTGGCGCCTTCTGTTACGAGTCTAGCACCAATGAGGCTTATTTTGAAAAGGGGCCTGACATCCCAAGAGACGTTATAGGGTTAAGGCTATTTCTAGATTAGGTCAACGCATCCGTTGTTTGAAGCTCCCAATAATTATGGTAATTGTGATGGAATTTTGCGACTAACTACAGAAAATCTGCATAACTGTCATGGAAGGTACGTTTTGAGACTTGGAGAATGACGTAATTTCATATCCGATTCTATTAATATTACTCTTTTCGTATAAATGCAATTTGCATTTCAGATAGTCACGACATTCGACAATCGTTCAGAGTCAGACGTACTTCCCAAAGCCCGTTTATAACCGCTCGTCTTGGGCAGAATAGCATAATAAAAACGCTCCGATTTGAGTTAGGCACAATCCCTTTGTTAACCAAATATAACCAGCGTATTTGACCATTTTCCTTACTGATTGCGCTCGGAGAGATCAAATTCACGCTCTCTGAGTTTGCAAAAGAGCTATCGATTGTAGTGAATTACAGCACTGAATAAAGTTTCCTCTCAAATCCCAGCAATAATATACCAAATCGATCCAAATCGTGTCATCCCAATCGATTGTCAGATTAGTCTAATTTGATTGAGAATAGGTGATTTTCTAATTCATTGATTGAAGATGGGACCACCGAGGTAGTAAATGCAGGTTGTCTTCACACGGCATTAAAGTTCGTGTGTGCAGAGATTATGCAAATAAGAGAGAAAGAAAATTAACCATGGTATGCTAATCCAAATCCAGAAAGTGCCCACTTTCGGTGATATAATTTGCGGGTAAAAAAAGCAATGATTAAAATTCGCAGATGGATACAAACCGTGAGTTTAAGTAAAAATAGCCTGCACGATTGAATGAATTTAAAGCTAGTTACCGACATATGATATCGTCATTGATGAATGAAATGATATTTCTTATTAAGTGATAAATCCGTATAATTTAATTGCTATCCCATCGAACATACATTTACTTCGTATGCCAGTAGATTACTTACCATTATCTCCCTCAATGACATTACAGAGTAGCAGATAATACTATATTCTGCTTGACAGGTAAAACAAGTATGCAAACACTCTTTCTATATTTTGCGATAAGGAATGCGGATTTTCATAGGTGTTTTCAGAATGTGAGGCATTTGGACGAAATGAAGAAAAGATATTTATACGAAATTATCTTTCAGTGCCAAATCAAACCTGGAGAAGTATGTTGAGAGACAGAAATTGTAAACATAAAGCCGTTCTCTTCAGTTGTACTTGAATTTCAGAGCTCAGAAGACCGAAAGCCAACTGTGAATAGGAAGTAATTTGGATGATGAACCGCAATGGCTAGTTCTAGCCAGCAGGGGAAAAAGAAAATAAGTGTCCCATTCAAGTTGCTAGGATACATTACACCTTAACCAAATCAATTTCTGTTAAAACTTATCAGAATTTTCTCGGGAAGTTTTTTACTGAATCAATAGTGGATACAAACGTCTGCAATTATTTAAAATTGCACAATGGAAGCTGTCGACCGAACCGATCTATACCGATCAAAAAAGGAACATCGGCCTTAAATTACTTTCTTCCAAGTAAGACATTATGAGAAGAACTGAGAAGTAAGAACTGCTCTGTGCTTTAAATATTTTAGTTAAGGCATTAAGATGATATATTGACCCCCAAAACATTGCTTTTCAAAAAATAGAATGCGATTTCCGAAGGAGCATTACCGCTAGCAAAATAAAACTTAAACGTCTTCACAAATGAGGAGTATTCTCCTCAACTCACCATTCGGGTAGCAGTAGCGATACAATCGGTGCCCGTATCACCACCTCCAATCACAATGACCCGCTTGCCAGATGCCAAAGTGGGAAGGTCGGAGGCCTCCTCTTTGAGACATAGCATTGACTCTCCTGGACACATAGCGGTGGGCAGAGGTTTTTTCGACGTGTTCTGCTTGCGTTGCCAGCGCTCAAGGAAGCTCAGAGCAAAGTGGATACCCTCCAAGTCACGGCCTGAAAATGTCAAAATTGAAATTTTATAACGTACATAGCTGGTCTCTACAAACTACTCATAGTTATAAAAGGTAATATGATCAGTTTATTTGTCTAACTGTTACGTAAGTTTTAGGTAAATTTAAGTCGAATAACTAAGTGAATTCAAGGATCATCACTTATTAGACCTCCCTAAGGGGGTTACCGAAAATCCGCCCAGGACGGTTAAATGGTAAATTCCATTTCATGAAAGTATTATGGGCCAACTTTTGGAAAAACCCGGTACTATTTACCGGAATCGTAAGCTCTTCTATTGGTCAGTATCATGAGTTAAAATGACACATTCTTCAATTGACATTTGGAAGTCAAACATCCAACTGCGTAGAATCTTTAACAGTGGAAAGAATATGTATGTTCCAAGTAATTCTTATTGCTCCATATTTTGTCATTTCTGAAAAATGGTCGTGGATTTAGTGGGATGACGTATATCTATATTTAGAAGTAGTCAGTCGTGAATTAATTAACGGAAAGAAGTGAAACTCGGTGTACTTCAGAATTGATTTACTTACCAGGAATGTTAATATCGCGAGGCCAAGTAGAGCCAAGACAAAGCACGACAGCATCAAAATCATCCAGCAACTTCTTAGCAGGAATCACGTTGACATTCTCATCCGCCGGACGACACGATGAATTTGGATCGTTCTCAACACCATTGCAACCAATCTGTGTGTTGCATACGAACTCCACACCATCCGCTTCCATCAGCTTGAGTCTACGGTCAACTACAGCCCTATCTAGCTTCATGGTTGGAATACCGTATCGAAGAAGACCTCCTGGTAAGTTACGGCGTTCCATGACCACTACTTTATGACCAACCTGAGAAAAGAAATTCCGATTATTATAATAATTATAAAAGGGTAAGTTTTGGGTATGCGAAAACGAGTATTATGATTGGTAGTTCCTTCAAGCTAGATTTTTGAGAAAGAAGTACGATAGCGGTTAAATATTCTCACCTTAAATGTTTAATCGACTAAAATAACGGGCCTATTTGATTAGTTTAAAATCATTTATTTATTTATTTATTTCAAATGGCAGGCTTTA